TCGGCTCTTTAAGCAAATGAGTTGAAACACGAACACACTTTTGAACTCAAAATATAAACGAGTCGAACACGAGCTGAGCCTAGAGGTAGGGGTGAGAGAGATATTCTCTTTATGGTAGCCGTGTGTTCCGCTCATTCTTTGAGTTAACGAGTTGAACATAAACAACATGAATAAACACGAATAAAGATTTGTTCATTCATGTTCGGCTCGTTTTGACTTGAAATACATAAAAACTAGAAAATTTATCCGTTATTTGTTTTATTGAGTAAGTATATCCGAATATTTATATTACATCAAAATCTCTCATATTTTTATATTTCTGCAATACAATAAGAAGAATATTTTGCTCTCACGCTTAGATTTTATTCATTATTGTTCTTAGGTTATTGCTTGTATGCTCCAAAAATTTAAAAATGGCCTTTAAAATTGAGAATGAAGGATAAGGAAAGTTTATTGCGAGCAGTGGTGAAACAAAGGGGTGGGAGTGTTGATGGTGACATTCACCCGTCTAGATTCTTAATAACTGTGTAATATCATATTATACATTTAAAAATTTTCCCCACTGAAGTTTAACACTGTCATTGCCAGTACCAAATCCATATGTGACAAGTGGAGGATTGTGTTAGGTAATCGACAGCCAACTTAAAACCTGTTGAAAAATCATGACAAGAATCATCTTGATCATTGTGTAAGTGCTAGGGCGTCCCATGAAAGTGACGCGTCGTATGGTCTGGATACAATGAAAAGTGTGCAAGGACCGCTACACCGACACCCGGTTATAATTTCAAATAAGCAATGATTCCTACATTACAGACGAATGCAGATAAATAAATTTGTTCATGAAATTAATATTATGATAGGATCTTGGGCTACAGATACTCACACTGCTAAATTAATAGAATCAGTTGATATTATGATTCATAGAAAGATAAATATCTTTGGATCTTTTCTAAATAGGGCACAATGGAGAAAAATGTTTCAAGTAGCTGACCCCACTTAGTGGGATAAAGGTTTTGTTGTTATTGTTGCTGTTGTTGTTGAAGTTGGCCGAGTCCCCTAAAGCTATGGCGAATGAAATGAGTTGTAAGCTTTATTTATCCAAGAATATCTTACACATATATTATAGTTGGCATTGACAGTTTTATCAAAAAAAAAATTTATTCCAGTTTGTCAATTTTTCATTTATCTAACACTTATAATTGATTTGACTTATTTTTCTTGCAAAAAGAGGAGATTAACTAACAAAATGTTTAAACAACTAAGATTAAAGAGAAGATTGCAATTGATAAACAATATATTTGTAAGAGGTTAAATTGAGTTCATATATTAAAACGTGCAAAGTATACATAGCAAGATTCAAGTTTGCGTTCTCTCCATAATATGGTGAATATGTATAATGTCACTTGCATGCTTTCAGAAAAAAAATTATTAAAAAAAAAAAATTCAAAAGTTCAATGAGTCAAGA